TCCTGCTCCCCAGGCCAAACAACCCCCAGGTGAACTGACTTAGAGACCAGATTTCACTGGAGTTTGGGACTGGCCTTCATAATTGGTAGCTAAATGAGTCTCATGGGCTGGACAGGTGCAACAGACCGAACAGTAGGTGTGAGTAAAGTGGGAAGGTTCTGTCCGCTTGAGTGCTTACTGTGTAGCCGGCCCTGTGCTAGGGACACACAGAAAGGAGAAAGTACTCTAGCAGTAGACACAGTGAAATGTATTGTTGTAGCAACGTGATGTGCGATGATAAAACGTACGGAGATTACTGTGGGGAGCGGAGGAAGGAGCCGTAACTCTTCTTAGGGAAGGTGGCGCAGAGAGAAACAGCATGAAGTCAAGGGTAGGACTTGTAGGAAGGAGGAGCCATCAGAACCTTCCAGCGAGGTGGAGGAGGCGTCCACCCCAGCGGAGGTTTCTAGGAAATGTCTTTGCCTTCAAAGGAGGGTTCGGAAGGATCCAGGACTCAACACATAGTCCGCATCACCTGGCCACCTTGTGGGAACCCCCACTCGTTCTTCAAATCTGAGTTCCTACAGTGTCAAGTTCACACTGGTCGTGTGACAGCGTTCGCTCTCTCTCCCATCCCGGGAAGCTCTTGGAGCTTGGGGATGGGGTTCTAATCACTCGCATTTCCCACAACTAGCACAAAGTCGTTGTTTGCTAGTTTAGGACCAAAGTGGTTGAACGGGAGACCTGCCTGCAGAGGAAACTGGCAAGCGTGCTGAGAATCCCGTCCATCCTAGAGGTGGTGGTAATCCAGAGTCGCCTTGCATGGAGCCGCTGTGGCTTTGATCTACTTCTAGACCCATTCAGATGTGTTCCCTTCCTTTGTTTACTTGAGTTTCTTGGTAAATTGGCTCCTTAAGCCTTCACGATACTTAGTGAGTTCGTCTGAGTTTGAGGGTGGGTAAATATTGCCACACCTGAGTCAATAAAGAATGAATCGGTGTGGCCCTGGTAGTTACTATGACAGCTGGGGATGCCAGAGAGAACTACAAAACGAGGACAGTGGGAAGCAGGAAATGTGGAGACAGGATTAGGGCAAGCCTTCCTGTGGCATTTCCACGTCCTCCTGATGACACCTTTGATATCTGGGCAGCCGCTACTGCTCGTGAAGTTCTCGAGAACCTCCTGGACGCTGCTCTACCTCGACTCCCCTGCCACTCTGACACTGTCCCCTCTCATTTGCTGGTCCTCCACCTTCTGGAGAGAATTTTCCCAAGCGCCCTCCTTGGTCCTGCCTTCGCACCCTCTCCCGTCTCCCTTTACGCTCTGAAGGAACTTGTCATGCTCATGGGTCAAGTGTCAGTTCTGTGCCGGTGATCGATTCCCCTCTGTCCCCTGGATACCACACTCTCCCCAGACCTCACTGCTAGACGTGACCTCTTGGTTTCCATTGCCTACTAGACATTTCCATCTGGGTGACCTGCTGTCATCTCAAACTAAACATGCATGAAATCGAGCCTCCGTCTCCATTTCTCCACCCATGGCATCAGCATTGTCTCACCCACCCAAGCTCAAAACCTGAGTCATGTTCGACGCCTCCTCCCATTCTTCCCTTCCCAAACACAAGTCTTGCCAACTTCCTTTGCAAATCTCTTATACAGCTCTTTGTCTTTTCCGTTCTGTCTGCTAATCCAGGGTCCCAGCACCCATGTCTTGAATATTTAATAGCTTCCCACTTGGTTTTCCGGCCTGCCAGTTTCTTCTTCCTTTAGTCTTTCTTTCATAGTTGGCCAGACAGATTCTCCAGAACGATTATGTTAATCCTCTTTCTCTCCTGCTCAAAAACTTTCAGGAGCTTTCATCACCATAGATAAGTCCAAACTCCTCAGGCTCAAGACCCTGTGTTTGGTCCCAGCCTGTGTCACTGGCATCATCCCACATGATATGGGTGTAGGCTCCGAAGCCAGACTCTGGGACCATATGACACTTCTTGACATATGCTGGGTGACCCAAGGCAAGTACTTAACCTCTCTGTGTCTGACTTTCCTCTTTAAAATTGCTTTATAAAAAAAGTATAATCATTTCTAGGGTTGCCACGAGGATAAAAGACACTTAGAACAGTGTTGGGTACATAGTAAGCACCGATGTGCTAGTTTGTTATTGCACTGATTTCTTTCTTTTTTTTTTTTTTTTTATACCTACAGCACCCGGTCTTCCTAGGTGGTCTCCCATCCAAGTACTAACTGTGCGTGACCCTGCTTAGCTTCCGAGATCAGACGAGATCGGGCGTGTTCAGGGTGGCATGGCCGTAGACTTGCACTGATTTGAACAGAGTGACTGCTGCGGGCTGCACACCTCTCCCCTGGGTGCACATATCCACCTCTCCCTGTTGCCTTTGCTCAGCTCAGTCTCTCAGTCCAGGATGCTCTTCTCTGCTGACCGGTACCCGTCCAGGGCCACTTACCGTCCTCTTCCTTCCAGTGAACACTCATCTGGTGCTTTCTGCAATGCTGCTCAGCCTGGGCTGGGTGGTGGTGGGTGTGTCAGGGCACATGAAGCCGCCATAGGCCACACATGGCACACATGGCACACGTGGAGGGTTCATTTTACTTGATAAGTTCATTCATTTTTATATCCAGACGTGTCATGGAGGAGAATGTGAAACTGACCAAAGGTTTTTGAGATCAAACACACAACTACTGAGAGTATTCAGAGTGGAGGTGTCTTGGCCCCCGCCCCCCACCGGCCCTAGGGCGGAGTGTGCATTCATTCCGCAGTGGAGAGGTCTGAGGGGCAGGGGCATGGCGGGTAGAAGGGGCAAGGCGAGGATCAGCTAAGGCAGGGGTAGTCCCAGTGCAGTGGAGGTGGCAGTCCTTGTGCTCAGGGCCTCTGAACACATGGCGGTCTGTCCGTCCTGAGAACTCATGTCCACACCACTTTTAGTTGCCCAGACGTAGCTCTTGTATTACAGTTTTATTAACTTTCCACATGGGTAGGTCTGATCTCTTCAACATCATCCTAAGCACCCGGAGCACAGGTGCGGGTGGGGTGCAGGTGTAGGGTAGTAGAGTGGAAGACAGACCTGGGCGTGAATTAGACCCTGAAGTTTACTGATTGAGCAAGTCACTTTTCCTCTCAGCCTCAGTTTCCTCATCTGTGAAGCATGAATAATACCTACCTAATGACGTCGTTCTGGGGAGTCAACTAGATAAGCATTCGGCCTACGACACAGGTGGCACTTAGTAAACATCAGATCCCTCCTGGCCATACCAGGCTCTCAGCAAACGTCTAATTCTCGAATGTTCCACCCCCAACTGTATCCCCACTCCCTGCGTCTAGACCCACAGCTTCTGCCTCCCTTCCTGCCACAGCGGATGCTCCTATCGGAGGTGCCTGTGGGAGGCCGTCCTCTTCCTCTGTACTAGTCCCGGCCCCTCCCACCTTCACAAAGACCTCCATCGCCCAACTGCCTCCCCAGTGCCCTCCCTACTGGCTCACTGTCTTCACCATGTAATCATGCTGTAACATCACTCTATCTAAAACAAGACAATAAAAATGCCTCACTTAGTCCCACACCCCTCTAGTTACCATTCTATTTCTCTGGTCCCTTTACAGTCAAAAGTCCCTAAAGAATTGGCGTGCTCTTTGTTTACACTTCTACCGCCATTCCCTCTGAGCCCACCCCAGGACATTCTTATCCCCATCACCCCAGGACATTCTTATCCCCATCACCCCAGGACATTCTTATCCCCATCTTATCCCCATGGAAGCTACTCTTCTCCGGTGACCTCTACGTTGCCAAGTCCAGTGTGCTGTTCTCAGGCTTCTTTACCATGTGAAACCTGGAAACACCTTCTGCCCAGGCCTCCCAGGCCTTCCAGGCCCCACCCTCGCCTGATCGTCCTCCAGTCTTGCCACTCCTGTTTCTTTTGCTGCATGTCCTCTTCTCCTGGCCTCTAAGCACAGAAGGCCCCGGGGCTGTCCCTGGACCACTTCTTGTACTCACTCAGGTAATCTCATTCACAGTGATGGTTTAAAATGCCATCTAAAAGACGCCCAAACTTAGATCTCAAATCCAGAGCTCTTCCTGGAACTCCAGACTTGCGTATCCACTGCCTACTCCCCATCTCCGCTTGGATGTGTCACAGACGTCAAATGTGAGCTCTCGATTCCCACCCCACCCTGCCCGTCCCACAATCTTTCCCATCTCAGTAATGGGAACTCTGTTCTTCCAGTTGCTGAAGCCAAAACCTTTGGAGTTATCCTTGGCTTGTCGCGCGCGCGCTCTCTCTCTCTCTCTCTCTCTCTCTCTCACTCACTCTACAGTCAGCTGATCGGCAAATCCTGTCAGTCAGTTCCTTCAAAATACAGAATCTGGCTACTTCTTACCACCTCTATCTCCCCACCCTGGTCCAAATCACCATCACCTCTCAGGAGGTCGACCCAATAGCCTCCTGAGTGGTTTTGCCTTTTCTTCCCCCAACCCCACAAACTGTTCTCCAACAGCCAGAGTAATGTTTTCAGAATATGCTTGATTATGTCATTTATTGGCTTCAAACCCACCAATGTCTTCCTCTCAGAATAAAATCCAGATTCCTGTCCTGGCCTGCAAGGCCCTATGGGGCCAACCTGCTGCCTCTTTGGCCTCATTTCCCCCACACTCCCCTCGCTCCCTCTGCCCTCTGACCAGGCTGGAGACCCTCCTGCCCCGGGGAGGGTGTGCTTGTGGTTCCTTCTGTCTGGAGTGCTCACATAGGTGACAGACTTGCTCCCATATGTCCTTCGGCTCTCTGCTTGAAGGCCGCCCTGTCAGAGAGCCTGCCCTGACCAGCCTCTCTGGCACTCTCTTTGCTGACCACTGACCACCAGCTGACATAGTATTTACATGTCTGTTTTTGTCCACCTCCTCACCACTAAAAACACTCAAGAGGACCTGCAGATGCTTGGCGGACGAGCAGGGCGTGGTGCGGACGGGAAGAGCCTGGTGTGCATGGACCCAGCCTCCGCCCCGCCACGGCCCTGCTGGTGCTGCCAGGCACCTTGGCACAACCTTCCTGGACTTCTGTTCCCTCTCTGTAGAATCTCCCTAGAAGACTTCTAAGGGAGGATAGAGCTATACCATTCAAAGTCCTTGAGACATGATCAGTACTCAGTAAAATGGAGGCTAAAAAGACCACCTGGCCACTCTCTAGGAGGAGTCCAAGTGCTCTCTGTCTCTGTCTGCCCCGGATGGAGGGCTCATTCAGCAAATGAAGGTGACACCATGTGAGAAGTACTGATTCCGGTCTCCATGCCAGACCGTCCCAGGGCCCCCTAAAGATCGTTTCTAGCTCCAGCCAGTTCTCCTCCATCCCCAGCACCATCCAGTTTGCTACCAAATCCCCTCAGATGGGGGCCATCTCTGAGCAGGTCCTGTGATTTGAAACCCTCCCCCAACCCCTGCTTTAGATGCCATGTGGGAAGCAGAGGTACCTGCTGGGAATGTGTAAGTCTGTCTGGACTTTGCCATCCATGGGCCTCATGGATGCTCCCCTGACTAAGGACCCATTTTCGTGAGGTGGGGAACACGGGGAAGGCTTGGTGGCTGGTCTGATAGGTTTTCTCTGGCTGGTCAGTGAGGGTAACTAAAGAGTGGTTTCCCCGTATGCCACCAGGGGGCGCCAGAGGCTGCTCGGCTCTTGTCAGGACATGTCCCATGGTCTTAAGGTGTCTTTATTTCTCCCTCTCAGGTCTAAGGTTAGGCAGTGGCAGAGGCGCATGCACCTTGCAAAAACGGCATGGTGCTGGCTTTCTCCCAACTATCAGCTTGCTGGGTGCTCTTAGCCCACTCAAGGTCACATTAAGGGACTGGTGTTCAGGCTTCTAGGCTCTGTTCTTTATTGATAAGCATTAGTGAACCCCTGGCTCTGTGAGCTTAGCCAGTTCTGCCCTCAGATTCCCAGCCTTGGGTAGGAGTGTATCTGACCGAGCCTGCTGTGCCGTGGCTGTGCCTAAGTTGCTACACCATCCCTAGGACTGCAGTTTAGGTCAGGGAGGCATGCGGCAGGCATCAAAAGGTCCCGGCCAGGTCCTTGCCCTCAGGGATCACTTCTCATGCAGAAGGCACTCATCGGTTCTCAGAGGGGCTCCCAGAGGGGCTCCGGGAGCCTGCTGGTTAGATGGAGAGCTGGAGACCTCCAGATTCAGCCTCTCTCCTTCCCTGTGCGACTCCTTCCTGCCAGACGCTCTCCACAGCAGAGATGAGCTGACGGGCAGCAACTGGCTCTCACTCACATCCCGAGGCTCTCACGCAGTGGGCTGGAGGTCTTAGGTGGTATCTCAGAGGGGATAGAGATGCCAGAGGCTGTGCAAACCAGGGTGGGAGGGGCGAGAGAAACCAGAGGAAGTCTGTGAAGTCCCTCGATCTGATTTCACTAGCACCAGTTCTTGGCCAGCCCTTCAGTACTAAATAGTCCCGTGGGCCTGTGTGCACGCTTCCCCCACCGTTAGCTAAGAGATACGATGAAAGCAACCTTCTGCCCTCCCGAGCCAGGCACCTCATAGAATTTTCTTGCCTGCTCAGCAAAGACCCCCAAGCCTGCATCCATTTCTCCGTCAGGTCAGGGGCGTCCTTACCCAGGGCCACCAGGCTGGTGGTGCCTGGAGAAGGCCCTGGCTCCCTGAAAGCCCTCCCTGGCCTGTCTCTGACCTGTACTGGAAGCGGGGATCTCCAGGGTGGGTTTGCAGCACCTGGCGTACTTCTGGGGGAGGCTCCAAGCCCATCTGCTCTGCCCGCTGCCAGCGCTGCAGCCGTGTGATCCCTGCCGGGGTGGGAAGAAGACAGTGGGGCCTCACAGGGGGCAGTGAAGAGTTGGGCTAGAGAATGTGTGCGGAGGGGCGTGTTGGGACCGCTACACTCCCATCTCCGGGGACAGCGCCCAAGAGGGTCAGGCAGGGCCTTGGGGGCATTTCAGAGACATGTAGGTGACAGGACTGGCTCCAGAATGTGTCCCTGGGGCCTAAGAGGGTTCTCACCTGTGCAGGGCCCATACTGCCAGGCCAGGTCAAACTGCCTCAGCAGCTCCAGCTCCACTTCCTCCACGCTCAGGGGCTGGGGCTCTTCCCCTGCAATGACAAGCTGCTCTTCAGGCCTGCCCAGGCCTGTGCCATTCAGGGCTGGTCCCCTGCCCCTCACCTCACAGCTGTCCCACTGCTCCCCAGCCCTCGCCACTCCTCTGCCTCTGCCTTTTGCTGCCAGGCCTAGTGTAGGAAGTAGACGACATACTTCACTGACCCCTTGCATTGCCCACTTCTGCCCACGTCCCATGTCCCTTGGCATCCACTCCTCCCGCTTCTCCCCCACACCTCAGAGACCTAGCTCTGATGCCAGCTTCCCCTTGCAGTGTCCAGCGGGGCCCTCCCTCCTCTTCACTACAGGGAAGGCATCAGTAATGAACCGCTTCCGGCCCATGGCGGCCACCCAGGCAGGCGGAGAAGGAGGCAACTGCGGGGAAGGAGAGAAGCCAGCGGGCACAAGAGAGACAGCTGCTGAGAGAGAGAGAGTGAGAGAGGGCTGGGGCCAGAGAGCAAGCCCGGGGCCAGCAACAGGCAGACAGGATGACCCAGACAAGCAGAGAGGAAGTCCGCAGGTTCCAGGGACTGACGCCTGTCCCCCTGCCCACAAGTACGCAAACATCAAAGACCTAAGCCAATGGCTGGCTGCCTCTGTAGGGCGGGGCCTGGCTCCAGCCAATGGCAGGCAGCGCAGTCAGAGGGGGCGGGGTAGTAGCTGCAGCTGTGTTCTGGGGGAGAAGGGGTGAGGCTGGGGTGGGGACCTGTCAAAATGCCCCAGACTGCACCACCGCCTCCTGCCCGCGCCCCCACCCCCCCACCCCCCCCCACATTGGCCTGCAGTGGGTCTCCGGGGACTTACAGAGCGTTATCCTCAGCCTCTCACTTCCCGTTTTCCCTTCCTAGGCAAATGTTCTTTTCAGCCTCACTAATCCCCGTGGCCGGTTTGTAACTCCCCAGAGCCCAGCTGGAGCCTTCCACTCCGCCCCCCCCCGCACCCCTCTTGGCCCACAGAACACTGTGGGGGCAGGTCTGGAGGTCCGAAGAGAGTTTGGGCTGCTCCAGCCCCCTTCCCTGCTCCCACCCCATCCCCACTGGCCCCAGGAGAGCTGACTGGAGGAGCCCATGGGTTTCGAAAGCTTCTTTCTCACCGTTTGCGCCCAGAGATACTAACCACTCTTAGTCCAGGCAAACGTTTGCCTTGTCGGCTCTCCTGGGGTCCCACAGCCGGCCCCTGACTGCCTTTCGAGTCAGGAAGATTCCACACTGAGCAGGAGACCAGAGTGTGTTTGGATCCCCAGTTCTTCATAGCAAAATCAGCCCTGTCTGTCTCACAGTAATGTGAGTGTGAGCAGAAAACACCAACAATAAACCTAATGCTTATATGGCATTTACAGTGTGCCAAATTCTGTTCTAAGCTCTTTCCCACAGACTCACTCAACTAGAATAGATATAAAATGATTCTGGAACAGAGTAAGTGCTACTACTCACAGGCACTGTGGGGCTCCAATTCAACCACAGCCCCTGCATGTCCCCCAGGAGCTCCCAGGCTAATAGGGCAGGCAGATAGGACATACACACTGTCAGTACAAAGATAAAATTCCTAACCAACAAGAGAAGGGGAAGGGCGGGGTCAGAGATGGCTGGACCTTGAGCTGGCATAGCCCTGGAAGACCTCCTGGAGGAGGCAGGCTGAGTAAACAGTGTCTCAATTCTCTGCCCATGACCTTTGTCCCTTGGGCTCCTATCATAGCTGACTCACCCCTACACCCACTTCCCCCTCACCAACTTCCTGGCAGCAAGAGAAGTGCTGGCCAGTGGGAGTCTGGGAATCCGCACGGGGACGGCCCAGCTCTAATCTGCCTCTTGAGATCCCATCCGGTTCTTCCCACCAGGAGCCCAAGGGCCTGCTTGGAGGCTGCTGCCTTCCCCTTCTCCCACTGCCCTGGAGTCTGGGTGCTCAGGGATAGGAGGAGGGTGGGCACGAGGTTGGAGAACACCCGTGAGAGGGGACCACCAAAGGGAAGGAGCAGGCCATGTCGTCAGGGACCTCCTCCCACCTGGCTGTCCCCTGTGCTTCCTGAGGAGGGCTGAGTGGGGGAGCTGAGCCCCTGGGTGGCTGTACGGAGCTGGAGGGCCCTTCCCTGCTTCATTGTTTGGGCTGGGCCTGATCTAATCCCCCTATCTGCCTCCTGGACTAAGTGGGGCCCACACTCAGGGGGACGGAGCCCTGCTGTGCTGGGCGGGAAGCAGGGAGGCCCTCTCCACCAGGCCCAGGAAGGGCCTAGGTGTGGGGTCCAGTGAGGCACTAAGCGCTCTGCTCTACAGAGCGGTGGTGTCCAGGCTGTATGGGGCTGACCACCCCTCCCCAGGGCGTTCCCAGAGGTGTGTGGCACCTACCTCCTGAGCCCCCTGGGTGGGGTAGACCCCTCCTTATTCTTGGTCCCTCCCACCCCTGAAAGCTGATAGCCGTGGGGCCCTTCCACCGCCCAGGGAGCGTGAAATGGGGTGTGCCGCTGGGCGGCCACAGTGCTCCCTCTGCTGCCTGAGCCTATTGCCTCTCCCCTCTGGCACCCCGACCTGCTCTGTGAGCACTGTCTGAACTGTCCCTGCTGACTGTCCCCAGCTCTGCCTAGCCCAGGCCCCACTAGCCTGTCTCCCCCAGCCCCCAGAAAAAGAGTCGGGGCAGTCAGCTCCAGTGCAGGCATCTTGGATTTGACGTTCTGGCCCAGCGTCACGGGAACGCTCCACTGGCAGCACTGTGCTCCTCTCCCGGTCGGACAGCAGTGGGCTCGGGCCCCAAGGCTCAGAGGTGTTGTCATCCGGGGTTTAGAACCATCCCTGACCAGTCGGCATTCTTCCCTTTCTTGGCATCTGGCTCCCTAAGTGTGCCGCCCACCCATGGGTCATTTCCTTCTTTACTTCCGCACCCTTGCCTGGCCCCTATCACCTTAGTCCTGGAACCCCTGCCCTGCTCAGGCAGCCTTCTGGTCATTCCCAAACTGTTATCCTGGGGGCTGTCCCAGTTCAGGCTTCAGGCTCGAGGGCCGAGCCAAAGATCTGAGTTCTCTCCTCTTCAGGGACTTTCCTGAGACCCAGCCCCAGGATCCTGTGTCTGCCCTGACCCATAGAGGCTGGTGATAGGACTGAGCTTTGCACCTTGGCCTGGAAACACTCAAGGTCCTTGCTTTATGGCCAAGACCAAAGCCTTGGGGGAACTCAAGAGAAAAGGAGAGAAAAGAACTGGAACAAGAGCCCAGAACCTCCCTGAGGGCTGAGGCCCACCAGGGACTGCTCCACGGGGAAGGGGGATTAGGCCTGGCTTAGCTCAGACAATGCTGCAGGATGGGGGCCTCGGCACTGCGCATGTGCCCTGAGAGCCCCTTCCCCTCCCCCAGCTCATGATGGAGCTTGTAGGCAGAGCCAGCTAGAAGTGGGAAGGTGGGGACAGGTGGAGGGAGGGAAGCAGCTGCCTGGGGCCCAGCGGGCTACGGGTGTTGCCCGCTCTCCTTCCCTCTCCCCAGCACCCCCCTCCTCAGGCCCTCAGGCCCTGCCACCCACCCTGAGCTGCGGATTCTGGGCAGCCATACGCACACACCCTGGGCCTCGTTCCCCATCCTGCGGGCCAGATTCTTTCAGGCAGCAGCTCTTAGTCCCTCGCGACCCTCACAGACTCCTGCCTCTTGCTGCTCCATGTTCTCTGGCCTAGCGGGCTTAGGGGCAGGGGCCTGGTGGAAGGCAAAGGTTCTCCTGGGTCTCGGTCTTTCTGCCACTGGATATGTCTTTTGTCCTGTCCCCACCACCCGCTCTAAACCTCCCACTACTTCCCCTTGGCCATCCTGGCTTGGTGTTCTGAAAAGGGGCCCTCTGGCCATTCCTCACCTTGGCCACCAGGTGTCAGACTTTGTCCAGCTGGGAGGAAGGTCCTAGTTAGTTTCCACCCATCAGCCAGGCCTTGGAGATCAGGGCAAGCTGAGGAGGGGCCTGGAGGTGACCTCTGAACTAAGGCGGCAAAGGGACCCTGAAGGTTGAGATGAGGAAAGGGCTAGATCTCTGGTTCTAAAGCTCACAGTATTCTCTGACTGCCCCCGCCCTCACCCCACTGACAAGGGCTTTGTCCGCTGCTGGGAAATTGGGGGAACCAGGCTGAGTCAGGGAGCTCAAGAATTGAAGGGACAAAGGCAGGGACAGTTGTGGCTCCAGAGAAGAGGGGGGAGCTGAAAGGGAGCCACCCATCAGAGCACTCAGCCAGGCCTGGGTCACTGGCCATTGCCCTCTAGTTTAAGAGGAATAGGGTCTCCCCTTTGGCCCTTTCCCATTTGGGGTGGCTGTGATCCTGCGTGCATGCGCGTGTGTGTGCGAGAGAGAGAGAGAGAGAGAGAGAGAAGGAGAGAGAGAGAGGCGGTGGTGGGGAGACTTCTCATATACAGAGGGGGCCCATAAGTCCTGGATGTTGGGTCAGTCTTTGCAAAAGCGAGCAGCTGGCCAGGTGTGACTATCTTTTTGCCACCCCACGTCAGAGCCCATTCTGAACCCACTCCTACCCCCCATGGAAGTGCCTCCTCTAAGTGACACTTCTCCATCCTGTGCACATCCTCTCAATCACAGGTGCGTGACCAGGTACCCAAGATGACAATGAGATTTCTAACCCACTCTGTGCTGTCTGGAAGTGGCAGGGAGAAGGGCCTTCCCTCCCTCTCGCTCAACCTTCCCAGCCTTACTGGGAACAGGACTTCTAGAGACGACGTCTTCCCCACATGACACTGCGGAACCTCAGGTAGTCCACGTTCTTAGGCTGACCTCTGGATGCATGGGCCCCTGACCGTAAGACTGTACTTAAGAGGTGGAACCTAAGATAACCAGCAAAAACTCATCACCTCTCCTGAGATAGCTGTGGATGGAGAAGCAATGACAAACTCACTCACAGAAAAGCCTCAGGACCTGTCATTTGCCAGGAGCTACCTGCCCCATGGTCCACAGTGCCAAAATCCATGGGAGGGGCTCACACTGCAACACTATCAGTAGGGAGCTATTTGGGGGAGAGTTCGAGAACTCACTGCCCCTCTGGGCTCTCTTCTGGGTCCGCCTCCCCGCCTTACTCCTTAGGGTGCACCCCTCTGCATCCTTCGCCAGGGTGAAGTCCAGTGCTTGCCCACCCTTCTCTCGGTCACTGCCTCCCATCCTCCTCTGCACTGCGGCTCACAGCCAGTCAACAGAGGATCTCTAAGGCCCTAGAGTCTCTTGCCCCACGGTTCACTGCCATTCTTGCCTTGCCAGTCCTCAGCCTTGGCAAATGCCCTTTCTCCACTCTGCCCCCACTTCTGGGCATCTCCGGCTTGCTAAGGAATGTCACGATCCATGCCAAACGGGTCCGTTGACAACAGAGTTGTGTTTGCCGATGTCACCTGGTTGCATGTGGCTGCCCAGCAACCCTTTTGATTCTCCTCTGCTTGTCCCTGATTCCATTCCCGAAGTCTCTTCATTGTGCTCCAACAGCCACCCCTCACGTGGCACGGACATGTTTAGATCTCTTTTGTTTGAAAACAACAGCAAACCAACTAACCGAAGAACCTTCCGTGCTCCCGCTACCCCCTCTAGACATTGATTCCCTTTGCCATCAAAATCCTGAGAGAATATATCCACCCTTTCTACTTTCTTCTCACCCTCTTCTTTAATCTCACGGTTTGGTATCTGCCTCTCAGCTGCTCTTGCAAAGGTCACCTGTGACTTTCTGATTACCAGAGCCAGGGGACTTTCCCCATACTATTCTCTCAATTCTTCTATGGCATCTGACGTTGTCGATCAGCTGCCTCCTTAAAACTCTCTTCTCTTGACTTCTAATACACTATTGTCTGGACACACTTTAAGTAAGTTTAAATCAAATCGTCGAGAACTTTTCTCTGTGCATGTGCTGTGCTAAAATGCTATAGGAATACAAAGATGAATAAATCAGGGAGCCTGCGCTTAAGATACTACCTGCTTAAACAGGAGACAGACACACTGAACTCTCCCTCGTCCTGCCCATCCTCCAAGAATGGTGTCAAATCCCACCTTGTGCATTTATGCACAAGCACTTAACCGTGCGCAAGGCACTGGAAATGCGGTGGTGACTCCAGACTTCACTGCCGCCCCTCTGGGGCCCCCAGACCAGCAGAGCCCTCACCCAGCTGGATGCAATCACTCCTTCCTCGACTTCCACAGTATTTTCCCTGGGTCTTTCTGCACTTAATCAAATTCTCCCTTGGATTCTAGCATTTGCGGGGAGGGAGGTCCTAGTCCCTTTTCCAGATTATTTTGTTCAACACACTAATTGAACACCTTTTTGGGGGCTGGCGCTTGAGCGGGTGCTGAGATAAACAGATGGAGAAGACTCGGAATCTGCCAAGAAGTTCACAGTACTGTAGTGTGGGACACATTTTTCTCTACAGCCCTTTGCTTGGTGCCTTACATGTAGCAGGCTGCTACTCATTTTGTCCCTGGATGGAGACAGCCCACATGCTCTCTCCTTTCTGTCTTGTTAGGCAGGAGGCAGGGCCCGCAGGTGCCCCCGGCCATGCCTGGGCAAATGTCCCTGCCTAAAGAGCCTGAACCCCTCCAACTTGGGCCGGGTGACTCAGGGACATTCATCAGAGCCTGGCTTGCCCTACCTACAAGCCAGTCCAATAGCTCCTGTGCCTACACTCCGCCCCTCCCTTGGGAGTGGCTCGTCCACTTGTCCGTACCTCTGAGTGCATGTGCATGGTGTTGTGCCCTGTGGTTTCAGATAAGCTGGTCTTCCCTTCTCAGATAGAGCACAGGCTCCATAAGGGCAGGAGCCAAGTTAGGTCTTTTATCGTTCCAATACGTGTTAGCACAGTGATTGGGCAGGTAATTAAGTCTTTAAAATACATGTCAACTGATTGACATCACCATCATGTGTTACTTCCTTCACTAAGGGCACCATTTCCAGGAGGACCTTGTCAAATGCCCATGTATTACCTGGGAGCAGCTAGCCCATTTACTTACCCAGCGGCTCTTCCCTAGTGCCGTGACATGCCACATGTCCTAAGTAACCTGTAGTTACCGATCGCTGCTGCTGCAGCCAAGCCTCTCACCTTCGCTGTCTCTTATCCTTTCCCACAACCTCATAAGGGTGTTTAATATCCCCATTTTACAGATGGGGAAACGAGAATAGAGCTCTAAGTAATTTGTCTAAGGTCATTTAGCTAATAGGTTATGAAACTAGGATTTGAGCTTCGGTCACCCCTCAAACAGCATCTATCCCATTCACTTGCAGCCTAATCTGCTGTCTTGTGTTGGAGATAAAGGAATAGTCGGCTGAGACTTGTGACTTGGCTGCGGTCTATCGCCCTCCTTAGGAGATGAAGGGCATTGAGAAGGTGAGGTCACTGAGGGGGAGAAGGGGCCCAAAGGCAGCCACGGGAGGGGGTTCTGAGGACCGAATGTACGGGCTGACCACTTGGAAAGAGCCCTGGAGGGGCAGATGAACTGCTTTGTAGAGAAACAGACCTATGAGACCATGAAAATAATCCAGAGAAGTGAGGCGGACCGAGCAAAGGCTGGGAGAGGGAAGATAAGTTACAGACAAGAATGTGTTTGGGAGGACTATGGGAACTGGCATTGATGGAGGGAGCTGGAGTGAAGTCTGCTGTGCGTGCATCTTCCCAGTGAACAGGATGGGGAGAGCCTCTTCCCCCAAGCTCTTTGCATCTCCCCTGGGCTTCCAGGCTCTCCCAGCAGGCATGGGAGCCAGGGGAGAGGAAGGGCCCGGAGAACAAGTAAGGAGAGCCAAGAGGAGGGGCAAGGCCAAGAGAAGAGATGCTTCTGGGGCAAGCATTTTATTTGTTAATACAAGAATAGAAATTCTGCAATAAATATAATCTAATAAATAACATCTCCAAATAAATAAATATTAATACAACAAACAGTCATGAGTGGTTGGGGCTGGGGAGCAGGGCCTGGGGGAGCCGCCCCCCGCACCCCGAAATGCTACTGCAATGTAAACTTTCAGGAAATCCTTGTGGCTGTGGCTAAGGTTGCCCTCCCCAGGCTGGGCAACCCACAGATACCCTGGAAAGGGGGCGGAGAGGAGGCACTGTGATGCCGGCAAGAAAACTCGAAGCAAGGTCCTTTGGTTGTCACCCTGCGCCACGATTGCCTTAGCGACCCCCGGGTCTGATCTGTCTCTGCCCCTCTGCTTTCGGTATTCCCTCCGATGCAGACCCCACCTCTTCCATTTTTAATCCCATCTCTTCCTGTTTAGACTTGCCACTGTGTCTGTTTCCTGAATTGGATGTATGGAGTTAACTGGGGACAGGGGAGCAACACCCACCTAAGGAGAGTGGGGCAGCCAAAGGGCTTGACCCCAGAAAGGCACGTACTGTGGTGGTCCCCTCCCTGCCCTACATGCCTGCTTCCTGGAAGTGCCACTTGAGGGGCTGGTTGGGCGCTGGCAAGTGGTGGGCAGGAAGCAGGAGGCTGCGAGAGCCTTTGCACTGATTCGAAACATGTCGGGGTCCCTTGAGCATCACTTCCTGTGGAATCGGGACAGGGCCTATTGCACCTCTTCCCCAGACCTGCAGAACTTTGGGGAGTGTGTGTTGAGGGGAGGCCTTATTGCATCACACCCTCCTCCAAGTCCGGGAAGGGCCAGAAGCTTATGGCTTCTGTTTCCTGGCTCAACAAGTGTTGGCACACAGGTTTCTCCCTCCCAGAGTGGGAGCAGGGTTGGCGGGGGAGGGGAAACAGGAGGTGGTACAGGCCAGAGATCAGAAGCCACGGGCCTCCAGGTGCAGGGTGACCGCAGCTGCTGGAGGCTGCATCTTCTTCTTGAGCCGGTTGAAGTCCTTGGCTGAGCGCCACAGCCAGGTCTGCAGCTCCTTCAGCAGCCAGAAGTCGTCCATCTTCTGGAGGAAATCGCTGTGGGCAGGGCCAGGGGCCCAGGTGGGCTCAGTCCCGGGCAGAGGCTGGGGCAGCGGGTAGCCCAGTGCCGCCATAACACCCGCGATGCTGCCCAGCAGGCCCTGGAGGCTGGTGCAGAAGTGGGCCAGGCTGCGGCGCAGCTCAGCCGCGGCGGCCTGACGGTTGAGGCCGCGCAAGTGGCACAGAAGGTGGCTGTAGGCCTCGTAGTTCTGGGTCAGTCGCAGTTTGTCGTTGAGGCTTCGCCACACTTCCAAGTTGACAGTGGCCCTGGGCAGAGTCTCTGCCCCCAGCCGAGGTGGGTTGAAGTCAGGCTCATTGAAAGGGGGGCCCAGGTAGTTCAGCTGTAGAAAGGAGAGGGTGATGGGGAAGAAGGAGGGGGGAACAGCCCACTCACTGCCGCCAGGAGACACCTGTCCCCAAAGCTCCTATTTCCCGTGTCCCCTGACACTGGCCCTATCTCCATGCGAGGCCTCCCCTAAGTTTCTCCAGAGATGTCATTTGTAAGGAGGTGACAGTTGAAGCAGTGGGGGTGCTGAGCTCTCCAGGCAGAGGTGTAGAAAGAGAAAAAGTGAGCGGCAGATACTCAGGGAGGACTCGCTGACCGGCCGTGTGCGCAAGCCTCTGAGGGTGCCCGCCGCGGAGACAGGGCAGAGAGGAAGAGCAGCCCGAGGACCGAGGACCCGGCAGGCCAGGCTGCAGAGGTAGAAGGTGGACCAGGAGAGCGCAGAGCCAAGAGGAGTTGAAGAAGGCAGCAGTGCTCAGCAGTGGCTGTAAAACAGAGAGCAAGGGGAAGGGGCCTTAGGAAACACTGCTGGGTTTGGCAAGAAGGAGGTGCCTGGCGACCTGGGAGAGAACCGTTTCAAGTGGCCTGGGAGCCAGATTGCAGGGGGTTAAGGAGTGAGTGGGTGGAGAGGAAGTGGAGGCAGCGGGTGTAGACCACTCCTTCGAGAAATTTGGCAGCGAAAGCCAGGAGAGAAAAAGGGTCGGGAACTGGAGGGGGTAGCCGAGTCAGGCAGAGGTTTTCTGCACAGGGAAACCAGACGGGAAATCGGGTGGAAAGGCAGAGGGGCCCGTGGGCATCAGAGCTCCATTTGCCTCTTGACATGCCTGGTCCCACCGGCTGAAGGGCTGGGGACAGAAGCTACTCACGATTCCCCAAGGAAGGGCTCAGCCCACAGGAGCGGGGATGCAGAAGGAGGAAACGGAGGCAGTCTCAAGAGCTGGGTAGGAGGCAGGGTATGCAAGACAGTCGAGGGCAGAGGACAGAACCTTGCCAGCCCCCCGGGGAAGAGGCCTGGGGCCCAGGAAAGGGCTGAGGGAGACGGTTCAGCTGGGAGAGAAAGGGAGAAGCGAGGGGCGAGGCCTGGGATAGGCAAGGGCCCAGGGGGAGGTTCACACGCTGACAAGCACAGAGACAAACTAATTTCCTCGGTGTATCCTGGGGTTGGAGCCAGCTCCCCCGCCGCCCTCCTCCCCTTCCTCTCCCTGGCTCCAGAGTAGGGTCTGGGATGTGGAAGAGGAAGACGGGAAGAGGGGGCCGGTTCCCTGTGGCTCTCGCTAACTCCGACCCTCCTTCCTCCTCTCCTGGGCTCTCAGAACACCTCTGGACTGCCCCCAAATCCTGATGGCAGAACTTCCATGCACACCCTGAGCCCCCTGCCGCTACTGGCCTGGGTCCCCTGCAGCCCTCTTCCCACAAGGCCCCCCTAGGAGGCCCGGCTAGGATGGGAGAGGCAGACAGAAGGGAGGCCCATGGGTCCAGAGCAGCAGGGCCCCAGGTTCGGGGCAGAGGCGAGCTGGAACACAGGCTTGGGAGGTGGGGCCCTCCATCCCCACCCAGCCCCACCCGTGCAAGAGACACCACAACACGGTGTAAACAGAGGAGACTTCCCCGGCCCCCAGGGGGAGGCGGGCGGCTGGGCAGTCAGCCAGTGGGGCGATGGGCCAAGGCGGGTGCGAGGCCTGCCCACATGCCTAGTCCTGAGGCCAGGGATGGGGAGGAGGGGGCACTTAAGAGGGAAGGGCAGGAGATAGGCCAGACACAGAGACTGCCTGGAGCCCAAGGGCCCCTCCTCATCACCTCACGCTCATCGGGACCCCTCCGCCATTCTGTCTCTCTTCCCCCAAGTCCTCTTCTCGTCCTTCACCCAATTCCCAGACCCCTAAACCGCCCTGGATACTCACATAGGTCCCAGCCAAGCTGCGGAGTTGGTGCTCCAGGTAGCGGGTGAGGTCATAGGTTTTCTGGATGGAGGGGCCGGGCCCCGGGTCCCCTGTGCGATTGAGGGCTGGCACTGCAGGGAGGTGCCAGAGCACGGTGCACAGGCAAGCTAGCATGCCCCACGAGTCCCCTGCAGACAGGATGGGCAAGAAGCATGAGGTGCGCCTGGCCTGGTGGAGGAAGTAGCTGGCAGCCCCTCAGGTGTCTGTCCCCACCTTGGGCTGGGAGGGGGGTGAGGGTGGGACGCCAGATGGGAGGCGGTGGGGATGGAGGAGGGGAGCATTCTTGGCCAAGAGAGCATGTGCGTGTGTGTAGGCATGTATGTGTTGCGGGTGTCTACCAGTAGATACTGGAGAGTACAACTGTGTGTCAACTAGGAGTCACTGTATGTGTGCCAACATGTATGTGTGTGTATTAGGAGGGACAGAGCTAGGCTGAGGGACACGAATCAGTATTCCCAGGTTCTGGGTGTACCTCAGCCTCCTCTCAGGCTCCTAGTCCCACTGCAGCTCGCGGAGAGTCAAGGGGTAGGAAGCAGCATTTGTCAGAGCTGCCAGCTGAGAACGGTCTCCCTGGGAGGGATGCGAGAGAGAGGCCCCCCGAGGAGGACAGGGGGACGACATCCCAGTCAAGCTATAGGAGGCAGGGTGTGGGGTGAGACCACGGGGTCAGGTTGAAGGACACGGGGCTGGCTCATGTGGTCAGTGGTAGGAACATTCTAGGATACCCCTGGTGTGCGAGCGTAGGATAGGGTTAGATTGAAGGAAAGTTGGCATTCACTCAGGGACTGGCTGCCCTGTGGCTTGCCCCATTCTTATCTAGGTTTTGGATGGGGAAAAGTTTGACCTGAATGAGGCCTTTCAGTCAGCCTGCAATGGAGGGGTGGGGGAAGGAAGGAGGAAGGCAGAGAGAGAGAGAGAGAGAGAGAGACTGCTATGAAATGGACAGTGGACGGCACAACCCCGTTCTCTGGTTGTACCTTCTGTCCCACAGCTGTCAGTGAAATAGAAGTTAGTAAGTAAGGGATCCTCTGTGAGGATAACAGAGACAGAAGGAGATTCCAGGGGTATTAAAGCTGAGATGAAAAAAAAAGAGGAAAGAGAAATTGAGCAGATGTTCTGATAGAGGGACACACATCGCATGGCAGGAGTGGGGGAGGAAAGAGAGAGAGAGAGAGAGAGAGAGAGAGAGAGAGAGAGAGAGAGAGGATGTATTTCATAAATCGGGCTTATCAGCTGATGGTGCTGGAGAGTTTGGGCATCCCTGGATGCCAGAGGCCAGAATTCAATGCTATGAGAACAAACATAGGCAGCTGGGAAACACGATTTCCTCAGCTTTTAGGTGAGGTCCAAGATCCAGAGCACTGGGTCAGGATTCAGCGGGCATTGAGACGGAGTCAAAACAATTAGGGTTAGAATAGGGTAAGTCTATAATTGGCATTGGGCTAGGTTAGCATTAAGGACTGGGTTACTTTTAAAGTTTCAGGTTAGCTTATTGGGATTTGGCTGAGTGAGTGTGGTTGAGGTTTGCGTCCAGCTGGGGGATGTGGTTAGGTTTGGGCAGGCAGAGGGTTGGCTGGGACTAAGGTTTATTGAATGTGTTGATTCAGATGTCAGACTGGGTGATGCATGGCATGTCACTTAGAGTAGGGCTAGTCTGGATTTTGAGCTTGGGTAGGTGTGAGATCATGAGTGGTTTCTTTCTTCTAGTTTATATTTTATACTTTCAAATTTTCTGCAATGACATATGTTGTTTTGATTGTTAGAAATAAGTTGGATATGGGTTTAACAATTTGGCTGTACTTAGAGTTAGGATAGGTTTGGAGTTAAGATTTAAGACCAGGTTAAGTTTACAGTTAGTCATAATGCTGGGTCAGGGTTTAGAGAGGGTACCAGCACGGAAGGGTTTAGGATTCAGATCGTATAGAATGTGTCTCAGAGCGTAGGGCTCAGGTGGGAACTTCCGCAGTCCCGAGTAGTCAGTCTTGACTCTTTCAGAGGCTTGACTGGCATTTGGAAGTAGGGGTGCCACTAGTCTCAGGGACCCTGCCCTTCGGGTGAAGGGCTCTTGGGTGTAGGGTGCGTGCGTGTGCGTGTGCGCGTGCGCATGTGTTTTAGGGCAGAGCAGGGTCAGGCACATTACTGCTCCCCGGGGAGACGGGCTCGCCTTTTCCTCCCCCACCTGCAGCCTGTGTCTTCCCTCCTCAGTGCGCCTTTCCTCGTTCTTCCTCTCCATCCAAGCTCTTGCTGACTCTGAGTGCCTTTCTATTCCCTGTTCTTCACATCCCAAGACAACTGCCAGCCCTTCTCCTCTGTATGAAGCTTTGGGCTATGCTCAGCCTGGATACCTGGCTGAGTCACCCCGAAGGTCCTACAGGTACAAGGTGCAGTTGGGTTTGGAGGATGGAGACCTGCTGAGGTGGGCAGTGGCCCTTCTAGCCTTGAGGTGGCTTTCAGGATGGAGTCTGGCCTCGCTCGCAGTTAGTGGCAATGCCGAGGGTCCTGGCCGAAGCAGGAATTGGGAGCTGGGCTCGCCTCTTTACCCACCCTGCTTTGGGCAGCCCTGCTGGCCAGAGCTCTGGGCAGGGGGTCTGCCTACCCTCTGTGTGTGTGTGGGGTGGGGGCAGTCAGGAACCCAGCTCTGGGTCTTGTTTTTCCCCCTCCCCTTCTGGGCCCAGTGGGACATCCCTGGGGAGAACTGCCTTCCTACACAGGGACAGCAGGGGGAGAAGCCTTTGGATAAACAAGAGCTAAGTCATCTGGGCAGAAAAACGGCTCATGAAATTAACCAGACGAGGCCGGTGTTTCCAGGAATATTTCAGTTCTGAGGTAACTGTCACTGCAGGCTGGGGGCTGTGGGGGGGGGTGCAGGGGAGAGAGCAGAAGGATCCAACTGACTGACCCATGGAGAGAACCAGAACAAGAGAAGGAGACTCAGAAACCCAGATGGAGGAGAGGAGAAAGGAGACAGGGCTCTCTATCCTCTGTTATGACAGCTTCCACTCTGGGCAAACCGTCCCCATATCTCAGGCAGCAAAACTCTAAGCGTCTGGAGCAGAGCACACCTGCGGTCTGGTTGTGGCAGCTTGCATTCGCCTGCATCCCTGGGAGGGGGAGTGCACTGGGCACCCTGGAGCCCTCATCCATCCTCCCGTTGGTCCAGGCTCAAGGTGTGCAGGTGGACCTGGCCATTCGGGGCTGTGTCCTGCCCCACTCCCCCTGTCCTGGCCCCCAGCCCAGAGCACGCCCCGCACCCCCCAGCTCTGCCTCTGGCTGCTGCCCACTGATTGTTTACATCCCGTCTTCCCCTGTGTTTATAAATCCGGCTGAGCACGTGAGGAGCTAATGAGTGCAGCTCACGTTTCCTGCTGCAGCCCCCCCACCCCCCATCCTGGCCCCGGCCTGGGCCAGCCCCTAATTTCATCCAGATCCCTGGGCCCTGGGAACCGAGGCCCCCCTTATGCTCACACACACACACACACACACACACACACACACACACACTCAACCCACGCAAGTGCCCGGCCACCCTGACACGCATCGCCATCCTGACTGGCTGCGCAGGCAGGCACACCCATGTACGCATGTCTTCAGCCAGCTTCCCCTCAGTCCCTGGCCTGTAACCCCCAGGCTGACCTCACTCAGTGAGGGTGGGGGACTCGCCGTACAGTGTGCCAGGATGGTCAGAGTGGGTAGGACGAGTCAGCCAGGAGACTCTGCACCTGGTGATGGTGGCTCAGAGCAATCAGCCGAAAACGGAGGAGCCAGGGAGGCAGCGCAGAGCTCCAGAGTGTGCGGCTAAGTGCGGGGGCCAGAAGGAAAGCCCGCCCCTCAGGCCAGAGCAGGACAGCATCCTGGTGACCTTGGAGGGGATCTGTTGAGGGGAATTGGGGAAACGAAGCAGTTTGGGGACTGCTGTGTCCACTGTGGTATGAGACCCAGGCATTGAGATAGGGCCCTTGGGGGAGCTCCCGACCTGCCTTCCCCCGCAGAAACAGCAGGACTTTCCTGTCCTCTGGGCTGGTTACCCTGCCCTCCCTTCCTTCTCTCCCTTCCAGCCTCTTCTCAGTTCCCTATCCCCCAGGCCACTGAGAAGTGGCTTACTGCGTGGGTACACCTGGGCCCAGAAGTCAGAAGACCTCGCTATGCCACCAGCCCATCAGGCGATGGGGCTGCACTATGTGCCATGTAAAGTGGCCCTGCAGAATCACACGGTCCTGTCTCTGCTGTCCTCTTCAGCAGCCCCCACCCTGCCCTAAATGACAGAAGAAACTGAGGCCCAGGCAAGCAGCAGCCAGGCGGGACAGCCGCCTCGCCTCGTGAAACCAGTGCGGACACAGGAGTTGGGCTTTTGTTGGAGAGAGGGCTCGGGATGGTGCTGCAAGAGGAGCCTGGGTGGGCTGGGAGAGCGGGGTGAAGCCAGGAGAGCTGGGCCAAAGTGAAGGAAATAGTCGAGGCAACTGTGTGGGTGAGTTTGAATGGGCGTTGTTATCCAGAGGGCCTGGGAGGGGCCGGGAGGGAGCCTGCAGGAGCGGGGTGTGAAGGAGCAGGTGGGATTGTGGGGAGGAATGTGAAGTGTCACTAATAAAGTAGCTGGTGTGGCAGGGTAGTGTGCAGAAGTGTGAATGGGGCAGGAGTGCGGGCTCCGTGGGGGGGCGGGGAGAGCCTTAACAGCAGTCAGCAAGAGGGGAGACTTCTGGGGCTGCTGGGTGACAATTGCTGCCATCTCTACCCCTGGTTGAGTGCGTGGCTCCAGGACAGCCAATGTGTCTGAGCCACGGGTGGGAGGGAGCAGGTCCGGTCTGTCCAGGAATGTGCCCCCTGTGTCCCGCGGTGGGGGAGCGTGTGCTTGGGAGCCCGAGAGAGGGGTCTGTCGGGACACTGAAAGCAGGAGGTGCCGTCTGGGCCAGGGTCACAGAGCAACGGACAGGAGTGTGTCCAGTGCTGCGCACCCACAGCCTCTCTCCAGGGATCGGCGTGACCCTGCCACGCCGGACCGCCAGCCTCCCGTCCGCGCCCGGCAGCCCCCTCCTACCCCAGGGGGCAGGGCCAGGCCGGGAGCAGGAGGAAACCCGGACGAGCTCCTCTGGGGCTGGGGGGCTTCTGGGGCGCAGTGTGGAGTTGCTGGGAAGGAAGGTGGGGACAGCAGAGATGAGGGGACTCTGCGGAGCCCAGGGGATGTGGGGCTTCCCTCGAGGGTCTCGGCGGGGGAACCGTGCCGCGGCGGCCGCTCGCTGGCCCTCCCCCCTCAGCGGTGGTGACCTCTCG